CATATCTACTGCACTACGGAGCCGTCCCATAATTAAAACACTATATAGCAACCATATACTTATAACTAAAAATACTTTATTAACAACACAACTATAACAATAAACAATTACTTAAAAGTAATTCATTTGGCAAATAAGAACTGTCCGAAATAACATGCCATGAAAAATGTTAGTATTTACATACTTACATCGATTGAACAAATATAACACGAACCTTGAACTTACGTGGTAAAGTCAAGCCGAAGCTTGTTGTAGCTGTACCACGAAAACTCAGAAGATAAAACCGGCTTAGGTAAAATGCTGTGTTTCGTATAGTAAATGTAAAAAAGAGAAGACGGGACATTAAATCTTAGACGTAGGTGCAGGTTGGCTAACGTTTCTTGAATCCTTACATCATTGTAAACAATTACATAAAATTTTTACATGATAGAGATATTATGGTTAACCCACGGATGGATCGGACAAAGGACTGTGTGTTTCGTATACTGAGTGTAGAAAACTGGAGACCCAATTTTTTTGGAAACGAGATCCTTTCAACTTAGTCCTGAAAGGTAACAATATATCTGCATTGTTATAGATCTATTTATTAGAAGCTACAGTAGCCGCACCCTGCCGTGCGGTCCGCGAACTCAAAAACTTGTGGGTTCGAATCCGTCATTCGACTACTGTCGTGATCCACTCCTAACACAAACATTTTAAGCTTTTCAGGAGTGGTTAAAGGAAATATTGATAATGTTAGTAGCATTGCTAGTAGGTATTCAAAAAAAAATAATTTACAAAAGTGTAGGTAGTTATGTCTCTATATAAAAAACCTTACTACCATACTACAATTTTCTCCTGTATCATAGAAGTGTTTTACGTACGTGAATTTCACATGGACAAACATCCAGAGCTGTATATAGTAACCCATAGAACTAATATGTAAGATTAGTGTAATATTAAAACCAATTTCGCTAAAAAAAAGCTAATTACAAAAAATCCTGCAAAGAAACACAATCGTGACAAAAAACTCCGAGCACATTAAGTCGCTCGTTAATAAATGCCCTTCGCAATACAGTTAATAAAGTCACAATGAAATATTACTGTCAAAGGTAGAAACCCCATTTCGGCACAAATCCGACCCCACGCCATAAAACTTTCAGTCGAAAACAATCTTATATAAATTTTATTTCCTCTACCCTCCCGTTCTATTCCCGCCTTTGTTTTGTATACTGCCAGCTATAGCCGAATAATGCGGTTACCTGCGCTTTACTATCGCCAAAGATTAAGTCAAGAGTAGATGAGCAAAGCCGTCGTGAAATAGGAACTAATTCTTACCTCTATAATCAAATATACGAGTCTGTACCTGAAAAACATCTTAAGGGTTAAAGCAACTTTGAATAACTTTGAGATAAGTTAGAAATAGCCCGACCATAATGTACCATAATATAATGTGGTCATAATCACATGTTAATAAACCATATGGTGACAGAATAACAGAGTCCATCGTCCCATTTCTTCCCGTGAGTGTCGTAAGAGGTGACTGTAGGAAATGCAAAAAATATTTTTTTACTTCCTTTGATATCTTTGACGTCATACGTAAATAACAGATAGCGAGCAAAGAATGGGCAGCTATGTCAAAAGTTAGAGATGGCTGCGATCCAAGCGTGATGATTTAAGGAAATCATCGATACACCGGGAGAAACTCGTGTTCGTTATACTTTTACGGGTTGATAAAGATATAATTATACCGTATTCTTATAATCGTGTTTGAGAAGTCTATTTCTACAAAATGGTTAGTAATTTTGTTTACTTTTATACCTACTTAGACGTCTACACTATATTCAATATTATACACCATAGCTGCTCACCGCAGGGGTGACTCTCGATTAAACAAATCGATTTTTAAATCATTAAATGGAGCCGGGTACTTGCCACTTCCTGACGGACGGCACGTGCCCGATCACTAGTAGGTAATACACATACAGAAGATACACAGTTCACATTCTATCGTGCTCATAAACAATATTAGAAGACCATCTGCGATGTTTTATGTTACGATCATATCTAAGTTTTTAAAAGTAGTCCAAATTTTATTTTTATGTTGTTCAAAATATGCAACCTGAATAATAATTCTCGGTACGAGCCTCAATAGGTATAAATATATCACGTAGAATTTTGCAAAGTGAACTTACTTGTCTAAAAAGAAATAAAAAATTATTTAGAAATATGAAGCCCATCAATTCTCCTTACAACGTGGTGATCCATCCTGAATTATCCATGACTTTAACGATCTAAAGTCACACGAAATTAACTTTTTTTTTGTCCCTGCATCTCTATCGCATAGTACTTGGGATCAATAGGTCAATATGGTCATCCGGTTAATATGGTCGTTTTCTTATAACTCAAAACTACTGTCTTGATTGCGTAGATGGCTTTGTGATACGATAGCTCTTTTTAGGTCAATGAAATAATAAAGGGTCAAAAGAGCGCTGCTTTATCGACGCTATTTTGACAGTTGATATTATAGTAAATATTTTAGTATGGTGTAGTGTGTAGTTTTTTTAAGTGTTCCTTATTATGGCCAAAGCTTGTTTCCATTTTTTTTCTTAATATTTTAGTTATAGTATACGAATTTGTGTTTTTGTCGATGTCCTCCTTCTAGTTTTATACGGCGGAAGAGCTTAAGGTGGCTATGTTACCCTCATGTAGATACCTTAATTTCTTTTTCAAAATGCGGGACACGAACTTCATTAATTACAGACTGTGAAGCATTTCAGTTTAGTTGTCTGAGGTCACAAAGCATCGGTAGCCTTATTTGTGTGAAGTTGGTTGCAGGTGACCATAAGCTGTAGTAACCTAAGTTCAAGTAAGTTCCTTTATCGCTTCAACTTTATATATTTTTTAAAACGAGGAGATATAATGACATTTGGACAACTGAAAATCGAGAGAGGAAAGTTAATAAAAGTTACTTGACTTGATAAAAATAAAAACACCAGAAATATAGAAAAATAAGTATATTTAGTTTGTTTTAAAACATATATTTCAAATAAAGCGTAAATTAAACTCCATTTGATTCACCTTCTAGTGAACTATGAAACCATTACATCGCCATCGTAAAAATAGATCGAGGCGAATGCCACCTGGTGCGAAGCTTTGTATCTAATCTGACGCGCGTTAGGGGTCTGTTAAAAAGTAAAAAAATATAAATCGAGGGGTGGAGGTGATATAATGAAATTACTCACGGTGTTCATTAAGCATTCGTATCGAAACCGAGCTTTTAAGTCAAAATTGTAAGTTCAACGTATTTTAAGAGGAAAAACGTAAATGCAAAATAAATTTTTGTTTTTGTTAAAAAATATGACTATCATAAATCATAATATACCTATGTTATTATTTTCAATATTAGTATCATAGCATAGCTATTACTTAGTTTAATAGCATAGCTCTAACAGCTATTACAGCATTTTCAGTAATTTGCAAATTTATAAATTTTACAAGGTTAAACGTTTAAGTTTGATAATTATTTTAATTTATTATTTTTTTATCACTAAAAAGTAAAACAAGACAAAGCATCATCAATCGTATAGTTTGAATACAAAGGCAAACAATTGCGAAAACAATAGCGTATCAACAAAACATTGTTCACTACCATAGCAACTATGTCCGACCCCTAACGCAGGGTACCAAAAGCAATTACCCAACAAATCATCTTCTGACATTTAATGCCAATGCAATATGTTTGAACTCACATTCTAATATATCTCCAGAACCCAATTTCTAACTACATAAGGTTCATAAAGTATATTGTTTACGTATGATTCATTTACATGACAGCTTTTTAAAGTAGGGGACCAAGTACTGCGCCTAGAGGAACCCCCATTGATTATCAATTAGTTTTGTACTTGCATCATTTGTTGTCAGCGTATTATCCAGATTATTTACACGAGCCTTTGTTACATGACGTGTGAAAATTTAGATTTATAAATATTGCAATCGAAAATGCACCTTATAGTGATTGCTGCAGGCTTGTAATTGCCTGTAAGGGTGTCAAAATTAACATGTCCATCTTCGTTACAGATGATTGTTTAATGATCGAGCACGAATTGATTTTTAGGGTCATTGACGGTTTATTGATTTACGGTTCAAATATGACTTGCTCTTTATACACTTATATATTTCCATTGCCGGTCATGAAACATTTATCTTGTTACTGTAATTTAATTGAATATGATTAGTGTAATGACTTCCTTATCGATTATTAAATAAATATTTGTTTACATTTTATAACAATTTACATATAAATGACAATAATTATAAGTTATTTATATTGATACTTTATTTACTGACGTATCGGATATACGTCTAAATCTCTACTACCTAAACTCCTTTATAATAATTTATCATTTTTAAGTTCTTGATCATCCACTACCCGATAAAATCCTGAAGTAGGAGATGGGCAGCAGCATCTTCCTGATAAGAACTGAATTATTACAATCGAAATTGCGGTTGTCGAATTGATAGCTAAGCGTGGATCTTTTGGCAAAAATGGCGATATCATATAATTTGGTGGTCGCGGTAGTCATTTGCCATCAAGTGAGGAGCATGCTAGTTTGACCCCTCTTCTATAAAAAAATCATCTTCTTGATAACAACTTAAAATAATAAAAAACTGCGGTCGGCGACCTGCCTGCCAAGGTGGCAACTATGGCAAATATCCTGCGTATGATAAAATCTTTGTGAAAGCCAATGTTGAGCTGATACTTTTGATAATTTGTGATGAATAAATGAATTTTGTATCATATTGATTGTTTAAAGAAATTAGTCATTTCATATATTTCTTCAATTTATTTAATTAATAAGCACTAATGGATCCTTCTTCGTGTCCTTAAGGCTGAGGGAAATGATAGAGAATATATATGATGTATTATAGGAATGTTTGTTTCTGTTTTATACCTTTTAAGCGTTCTTAATTGCGAGTGCAGGTGTAAAATAATTAATTAATTTTCTCATATTTTACAGTCAGATATAGTTCACCAATCAGTTTATGAGCTGGTCCACTCTGAAGATCGGGAGGAGCTACAGAGGCAGTTGTTATGGAACTCCTTCCTTTCCCCCGAAGCAAGCAACCTGACGCTTCAAGACGTTCTTCGACCAGAGCGAACGCATCTACTGGAAAGAAGTTTTACCGTCCGATTTAGATGTTTACTTGACAATACTTCTGGATTCTTGGTAAGTAAAATTTTCAAAAAGTATGATAAATTTTTTATTCATTAAGATATCTAATAAATATATCTAATCTAATTATTATAAAAAATTTTATTAATATAATTTATACTATATATATATGTATTTAAATTATATTTGAATGGTTGTTTGTAAAATCCATGAAGTCCATCAAGGCTAAATTTGCGGGCATCTAATTCACTCGCACTTTAATAAGCAACATTATATATCAATAATAATTTAAGCTTTAATACAACAGTTTTCAACAACTTTAGCGCATGCCATGTTTTGTGCTTATTTTATATTATATACTTATAAAAATAGCCGGTACATGTTATATAGACCCTATGGACTCCAGCAACCAACTTCAAACAAAGTGGTTACAGACTCGTTGTCACCTCGGAGGATTACGATGGAATGTCTCACAATCGGTAATTACTATAGAGTACTGTAATATATACATAATAGAACGGGGGAGTGGGTGGAGCCCGTGTAACCACTAAAATGTATAAATCTCTCTATATAATAAAAAATCTAATCAAAACTCTCTAAATCTAAATCAATGTATAAATGTCAACACAAGATATGTTTTGACGTTACAACCATTTCCAAATTTCGCATGCAAATTATTTAGAAAATGCCAAAATGCACACTCTTTATAAATAAATATGTATTAAAACTTAAAGGATTTTTTTAATGATGATCTTGAGCATTAATCAGAACTCTAAAATGTGTAAAATAGTCAACACAGCGAATCGGGTTTGTAGTAGTAATAATACGAAGTAATTGCTTGGTTATGTGCTCCCGGCGATGCCAATCCTCGTACAAAATAAGGTTGATAGCCATTTCTATTGTGTATTATAGTATTCTATGGTAATTATAGTGTTTCTCTATACCCTTTAGACCGAACAAATCGGTCCTGCTTGACGATAGAAATACGCAGTTACTCTACTTTTACTACTCTACTCGTAGGTAAGAGGTTGGTTCCTTCTCAGGCGGATTCTTAGGCAAAAAAGGAAGCTTACCACCTATCATGTATGTACTATTACCGGTATAAAACAGTAGGGCAGCCATCATCATCAGTCCCTTAGCAGTCTACTGCTGAACTCGCAGCGTTTTCATATTATTCATCCACTTATTAATTTATGGAAATCTAATATCTAAAATCTAAATCTACTGCTATACTTAAAAAAATAAACAAGCCCATGGTTACAACAGTAATAAAAAAACTGATTGCTTAAAAGGTCTACTGAAAGAGATAAAATATAAAATAAGGTACAAAGTTGCCATTTTATTGAATTGGCCACTTTGAGTTAATAAAAAAAATATATACAAAAACTTTAGCATTCGAAATGCAAAAAAAGAATATGACGTTCTATTTTTTGACTGTCGTTGTTAATTTAAATTACTTTCAGTTCAGTATGAGATAATGGCGAAGTCACAAGTTTTTAGTCCTCATTGTTGATAATGCATTTACATTACGATTCTTAATCGAAGATAGACGTAGATGCCTATGAACCACAGCCACAGAATATAATATTATATAATTATTACGTAACACACTTTACTTACAAACCGATTTACACTTCGACAAGTACAGTAGCGAGTTGCAAACCTAGCGAGTTAAATAGATAATCTCGTTTGTACGACAATTAGTGAGTTTAATAGTAAGTTAACGATTAAGTTGAATGGGATATCAGGCCGAACTATTTTACGGCGAGTTAAGTTCAAAGTGTTGCGCTCCCGCGCGTTTCCTGCCACCCGCAACTTAACTCGCCACTCGCTCGTGTGAACAGGTAAAATTAGTTCAGTGCATAAGTTGACAGGAGCCACGTGTTGGCGTTCGACCCTCAAAATATAATATTATACTTTTTTAACTAAATTTGTCACGAAGACATTTGAACGCTACTGTCAACTTAACCTTTTATTGTCAACTGTCATGTAGCTAAACTCGCTACTATACATGTGGAAGTCATAACAGTCATAACTGTTTGTTCGTTTACACCCTTATAATATAAAAATATGCCTAATTCTACCCTACCTACCCCGATCAATTAAAATTGAATACACCAATTTCACTAATTCATCGCAAAATTAAATGTTATAATTTACAAAGATCTTATTGATTTTCTTATAAATGATAAATGTGTTATTGTCTAACAGAGGCTGGACATTCGAGGACGCATCAAAGTTCTTCACGGCCAAAACAAGAAAACAGAAGAACCTCCGTTAGCGTTGTTTGCAATATGCGCACCCTTTGGCCCACCAAGTTTGTTAGAAATACCACAGAAGGAGGTCATGTTCAAGAGCAAACACAAGCTCGACCTCTGTCTAGTCTCAATGGACCAGAGGTAAATATTGTCAGGGTAGATAAATTATTAGCCGTGTGTTGATGTCGTAAGAAAATATCGTCCCGTGGGTGTCGTAAAGGTGGGTCTACACTAGACGAGCCGAGCACGAGCAGAGCATGAGCCGAGCACAAATTCGTGTAGTGTGGATCGACTTACAAGCTTCGAACTAGCGCGCTTCGAGCGTTTGATTCAAGCGGTTGTGCTCCGCCTATTGCCGGTTTTTTGACGATCAGAAAGGGATTTCCTCGGCTCCTCTAGCGTAGACACATCTTAAGAGATGACTATGGAAAATCCAGAAAAATGTTATAGCTTCCGAGAGTTGGTGGTATAAACATCCCGTTTATACCAGAGGCACAGCGGTGACTCTCCCTGTACGTGAGAGCTTAAGCGCCGGTGACCTTGAGTCGAAGCGTGTAACGCTAGGGTTGATATCGAACCGAAATGGAATATTATAGACTTGTACCAAAGAAGATACATAGTAGGTGTGTGTTATATATTATGTAAACTTATGTATTTGGGTAGCGGAGGATACGTTCAATTTTAAATCAACTTTTATTAAATGAGGAATATTAAAACTTCCGACAAAACCAAATATGCACGACAGTTAATGGTAATCTCAAATAATTAACCAACACTTATTTCAGTACGAAATAATCAGTATTACCTACTATCCCTTAAAAATAATTTACTCATATATTTTTGAATTTTTCGATTAATTTTTTAATTTTCATTATTATTTCTAACAATTGCAAAAATTCGTAGCATGTATATTTTTTTTAGAAAATCCAAAGGTATGCAGGTTTCCTGGGACATGGCGGCCAACAAATTGTTCCCTATGTGTTGAGATAAGATAAGTCGTTTCTATTTCTAATGAAATCATCCATAAATACAACAATGAACAAATACAAAAACTCTTTATAGATATCTAAAATTTCTTGACTCTCTAGTGGTATTTTTAATAGTGTATATTTTAGTTAATGTAATATAATAAAATTATTGGCGATATATTAGTTTTATTGTCATGGTATTCCCCCATAATTCTTGTTAAGTTCATATCGACTTTCATTAAAATGAGTTCACATATTTTTAAGGTATCATAAAACATTATTAAAAATTAAACTAACAAAACAAGGGCCCTTGTTTTGTGCAGTGGAATTTATTTTAATTCTAATCACTTAAAATCACTTTCAGTACTACTTATACATATACTATAATATCATTTATTTAATAACAACATTAATGTTTATCAAAGCATATAAACCTAGCATACACGGCTATAAAAACTAATAACTTTACTTGGTAACATAAACTTAATACCCACATGAATAGAATAGTAATATGTACATTAAGATATCAGTAATAATCATATATTAATTGAAATATTATATCACTTGACGAATATATTCATATTAACTAATACTGACAAATATCGGTATTACTATTAGCCCTCGACCAGGGCAGTTGGCAACTGCCCGTTCCACGCCCCGCGCGCCTCTCGCAAGCGATTTTAAGTGCACACATGCTTAAGTGTCGTTTCTTTTCGCGTAGTGTATATATTCTTTGCCAAAGGTAAACTCAGAACAGCGGCAGGCGGCAGCGTCAAAGTTGCGAGACGTCTGGTACTGCGGTGAAGAATTTGTCTGACAGCCGTAACGAATAAGACCAGAGACCCATCTCCTGCAGACTTTAACGGGCTGATGAAAATACGCATACGTGTGCTTGATAAAGCCATGCTGCAGCTATATTATGGTTGTAGCACGAATGGGTCGGCTCGATGGAAAAAGATCACGTTCTATCAAGAAACGGTGAGAGTAGAGAACGGATACGCTTTTTACTGGAAACGAAGCAATTCATCCGTCTTAGTCCACAGGGGTGACAGCGCATCTGCATTTTAATTCTTATTCGAGAATAGATATAAATGTCTTTCGACGATACGTGAAAGTTCTTGAACACTCATTCCACAGTGTAACAGACGCTTCCCGGTTCATAATATCAGAAATGAGGTGACCTGTGCTCAGCCGTGAGACATATATATACTATTGTTATTTTTTAACCTTTTAAACCCTTATATATAATCACTTTGTTGTCCGTCTTTATGTATGTATGTATGAATGTATGTTGTCTATCTATCTGCTTGTATGTTAAGACGCTTATTTTAAGAACGGGTAGAGGTTGATAAATTTGTTGCAATCCATAGATATAACCTTAGCATAGCGATCTAAAATGTACTGAATACGATATTTTCCTACGTACGAGTACATAACTCTTGAAATGACTGATTTTCTACCGAAGCAGGATTACCTCGTAATTCCGTTATAATATTAGTATAACCAATATATAAGAAATAAAAAGCAGATGGAATTATAGAGAAACGCTATTGAGTAATACTTTTTTTTTACTAATACGATACTCCGTACAAAATGTATAATTGTTAAACAAGATACGCTGCGTGGCCAATTCATTTATTAATACTTGTGAAGTTATGGGTTTTCGACCTTTGGGAACGGCCCGCTTAGATAGATACAAGGGTGAAGAATAATACCTATGGTATTTTGGAAGAGATGTAAGAAAAAAGGTTCTTAAGGTTTCGCCTTACACTGAAATACTTAAAATTAAAAAAAAAGGTATAAGGTGCAATATTCATTTTCTCAGTTAAATCATTTCCAAAATGTTCAACTTTACTTTCACGTGTTAGATAAATGATTAAAAAAAATATTACAATAGACAATTTTATCGCTATAAGCAATTTTTTCTATACAACCTTTAGTTGGACACATTATAAAACTACAGAAATTCATACACAGTGTTACCTTCTGCTAATTGTTAGAAGATACCTTGACGATCTACTACTGGCAACAAACCATTCAAAGTCTTGTCTAAATTGTATAGACTGATGGTATGCAACAAAATTACCAGTATACAGATACATTACCGGAAATAGAAATAGAAACATATTTTATTCGATATTGGTTTTGAAATTTTGTCCTGGGACTTTTTTTTGAAAAAAGAACAGTTCATATACGTAATTTTATTATGAATATAGATGTTACACTATTAACAACATAAAACAAAAAATAAATGGCTTGGTAGCGATCACATCCTTCCCAGGGATTATAATTTATAATCCGTAAATTCCTTAATATTTTCTTAATTTAATCTTTGTTTAATTAAGTTTTTGAAATTGGTTGTGTACAAATGTTGTATATATTTTGGGATTTGATTGCAAAAGTGTGGTATCGAGTAACTGGGCACTACTAGTTTGTGCCTGTACTTTGTATTTACATAATGACACATATTTTTAACACACCTACAACTACTAGAAGGTAGAAAAATTCATTCAATTCATTCATTCGTTCGCCATTCAGATGTCTTCTACTAAAACATAATTGTCCGTCATAGACTGACTTTTGGGGGTGATATGTTGCCACCCGTGGTAAACGCCAGTTTCTTTTATAAAATAATAATAAGTTGTTATTAGGAAGAAGTTGCAGCATTTATCCTATTGCGTTTCTTACGTACCGGCACACCTATGTAATATATTTAAAAATATAAATCTTGTTTCAGGGGTAAAATGTTATTAGGCTACACGGATGCGGAGCTGGCGAATATGGGTGGCTACGACCTAGTGCATTACGACGACCTAGCCTACGTGGCCAGTGCTCACCAGGAGTGTAAGTATCATGCAATTAAAGACTATCAAGTTCACGTCCACGGAGGGTATACTATGGCTGAAGTACGAATGGGTCGGCTGGACCAGGATCACGCTCTCACAGAATACCAGCTTGAGATAGGAAAATAATACTCTGGTTTGTCTGGTAAGTGTAAAGAACCAGAGGTCCTTTTTACCGGTAACGTGACATTCCATCTTCTGGCATTACTTCAGGGATAACAACGTATCAGTATTTTGGATTCTTAATCGAGGATCGATGTAAATGTCTATAGGCTGCAGAAACCACATTAAAATAAAACTTAATATTAACGTTTACATACGTACATAGTTCAATATAGCCATAGAGCATTACCGACGACGTCGTCAAAATTTTTAAACTAATTTTCAACTATTTTCTTGGAGCTAGTGGTGTGATCGGGGTACACTTGTTAAGGTCTTCTCCTTAGTTTTCTTGAGCCGCCATTGCTAACTTAGTCAAGCCGAACTTTACTGTAAAGTTGTAATGTCACGCTACAGCGTACTGGGATACAGAGGAGGTGACAGAGAGAGGGCGGCAAGTATCAATTTGACACAACTGAAGATATATGAGATGCAGGACCAACGGCACGAGATGAAACACCGCCAACTTTCTGAGAGTAACCCAATAATTATTTATAGCTTGGCCTGAGAATTCAACCTGACTTACCAACATTATAAAATAATATATGTTTATGTTTTGTGATTTTTTATGTTTTTAGTACTCAAAACTGGCGCATCGGGAATGATCGCGTACCGCTTCCAGACAAAAGACGGCCAATGGCAGTGGCTGCAGACTTCTTCCAGACTCGTCTACAAAAACTCTAAGCCAGATTTTGTCATCAGCACGCACAGGCCTCTTATGTAAGACCAACTTTATCTCTACTTTAAAGTTTAAAGCAATTTAAAAAAAAGATGTTACATAACCTCTTAGTTTATTAGGAGATTAAAATTAAGTTTCATGTAAGTTGTGGCGGGGGGGGGGGGTGTTTAAAATAAGGCAACAACCAGTCATAAAAAAAATTATATATTGGTAAAAGAAAAGGTCGTGGGCGTGGTTCCGATAATTTAAAAAAAATGCCCGTCTGGCTTCACTGGCAGGGTCAGGTACTCCCCTATGTGGCCGCGAGGTGGTCGAGCAGGGCCGGGGGGTTGGACTGTTCACGGGGAGCGCCGTGGGCAGCTGGATGTGGCGGTGGCGGCGTCGAGGGGAGGCCTAGGCCCTCTTAAGAAGGACGACCGCCACGGTTGTAGTCGTAAAATTGCACCCCTTAAGGGGTGCAAGACGATACGGAGGTCTCGGTGACGAGAATTAACGAAAAAACTATACGGCCACAGTGCCGGAATTATTATATTATTTTAAACTTTTTCCAAAATGGGATTAAAATTTGCAAACGCGTACGAGGACACAAAGCAGAGCTTGTGAACGAGGCTGCAGTGGTAGTGTGCGCCTCCGAGGGCTGTCGGGCGGAGAATGTCCGGGAGCGCGACGCCGTGGAATGATACCGGCCGGGTAAAACTCTGACGCGAGAGTTGCAAAGCGCATAGAGTAACGAAGCGTCAGAGTGTTTGTTCGAAATACAATATTTTAATATTTGATTTATTATTTAATTCGTTCTTTTAGTTTACTGATTTGTTTTATTAATAGGATACCTAAGTTAATTATAGAATTATTTTTGTTAATAACTTTTATTTTATTTTTATTTAGTTTATTAAATGTTTATTTAATTTTAATAAACCGTTTAATTATAATTATGCATACATGTACGTGCAACGTTACAGTATTTAATAGGTTTTAATAGAAGGTTGTAGTAGCGGTGTAAGAATATCCACTATCCAGTATCATCCCTTAAGAGGTGACAGAGGGAATCTCAAACAGGAGATGGGCAGCAGCATCTTCTTCAAAACAACCCAAAATCATATATTTTTTGTAGAATAAGGGTGACAAACGAGCACAAAGTTCATCTGATAGTAAGTGGATGCTGTGGCCCATAGATCTACATTTAACCTCGCTTAAAAATCGAAATGCAGATGCGTTGTCACCCCTGAGGACTAAGATGGAATGCTTTGATTCCAGTAAAACGGGTCTCGGGTTCTCTACACTCACCGTATAAAACACAACAGCATCAAGCTGGTATTCTGTGAGAGCGTGCTCCTTCCCCGGTCGAGCCGACTGTTTCGTGCTACAACCATAATATAGCTGCAGCGTGGCTCTACCTCGTATATAAAAATGCGGTTGCTAACCCGCATAATAAGCGTGGCAAATATTGCATAATCCCGTTACAAGGCAATCTATTGGGAACACCTACGTTAAACAATGGATTTTTATAGGCTGTAATGATACATCAGGGGTAAACTCATATAAGCTTTGAAAAAACATTGCATCCCTTATGGTGGAAAAATAGGAGATGAAGATTTTAGCGTACATTTTTATCTGTTTTACGTCAACTTGGCCTATTGAATCAGTGGCCTTATGAATCATCGTGACTGTTATACAAGTTTGTGTGACGAGCGAGGTTGAAACAGTTTTATAAAAACCGGACTGCGTAAGAAAATTACTAATAATACTCATTATACGATTATATAAGAACTTTGTTACATTTTTATTATAAGTTTTGTAAAATTTAAGCGAAAATTTTAAACGCTATAGATCCTATAAATGGTCATTGAAAATTAAAAATGACTAGAGAAACCTTAATATGATTTTCAAATACCTAATCAATGATACCTCCACTTGATAGAGTTCATCGACTTAAATTTTTTTCTTTTAAGCAATATGGCGTCTGCTTGTCGCCATATTGAATTTTGAGTCTATAGTGACACTACAAGATTAGAATAAATCGATTAACTTTAGAATCATTAAAATTAGGTCGATAAACATATTGCCCTCCGCAGTCACGTAAAAATACAAATTGGTTGTGTGTATCCACGTGTGTCCAAAATTATACATAGCCCACACGCGCATAATTTTGCGGTACTATGTATAACATAAATATACTGTAACTGTAAAATATATCTTTGGTTATATAAATAAATATATAACATTTCCTCTGCGGTTGATTGCTTGCGATTATTTGGCAGATGCGACCATATTCAAACAGCATTTCTGCGAAAGCATGGTCTTTCCCCGATTGAGTCGACGTGTCTTCAAGGCAAAAGTTAATTGGCTTTTATAAAGTCAGTGTGCTTTACTATCTTCGGCTGCAAATTGGGATGGTAGTCAAGCGCACTAGCTTATAATAGGTTAAAAATCTACCAACTTTTGAAAAGCCCACTAGTGGGATATTTCCAACATGATACAAAATAAAATTGCAATCGTTATTAATGTTTTCGTTCCTTTTTCCGTAGGGAAGAGGAAGGAAGAGATCTCCTGGGAAAGAGAACTATGGACTTCAAAGTGAGCTACCTCGACACTGGCCTCACCAGTCTCTACTTCTCGGAAACCGAACAATTGTCTGGCTGCGAATCGACAGTGACCACACCCCCTAGAGCAGCGAGACGGTACAAGACCCAGCTCCGCGACTTCCTCTCGACCTGTCGAAATAAACGCAGAGTTCCTTCTACGCCGGCTCCTCCACCTGTAGAATATCTAGCAGCTGATGCCGTTGCCGCAGCATATACCAACCTAAATGGAGCTTACACAGGTCCTTACGGGGAATACCCTCCAGCTCCACCATTACATTACGCTCCGCCACCATTAGACGAGAGGTTTTTGGCGGCGGACAACCTCTTCCATCAATATAAGCCCCTATCGTACCATTATACACCTTACGCGCCCAACGGTTTCCTAGAACCAGCGCCACCCCCCGGATACGAAGTAGCCCCCCACATATCATAGGCCACCATCAAGGGAGTATACTTACGTGGACAGCACTGGGCGGTACATGAGTCCGGTAACGGGACAAGAGAGGAGATCACCCAGTGTGGTCCCTGGGCCCAGTCCTGGAGGTTCCAGTGGTTCGACGGAACAGGAGAGGTTACAGCAGACTCAAGCTTCAGAAATGCCAAGACAGACTGTCCTCATGTGGGGCGCGGGAGGAACTGCTCAAGAGGTTCCCGTGGAGTACTCCCCTCCTCAGGTTTGGCGCTACCATCCATCGCATTACCACACCGCTGAAGCGACTCAATGAATGTAAATGTTTTTTTTTTTTAATTTTATTTATGCAAATTCCTAATAAGTATTTGAGGGTGTCAGACCTATTTTATCCTATATCAATTTCGTATTGATACTTAAATGACGGGCGACGAGATGAAAGTAAATAGTTACCATTGTCCATTATTACTAACAAAATAAAACAACAATAAAAATACTATTTGGCTAAACCAAAATTTTACGAACAATGTCATTGAATAGTGAACTGTAACTTCTTAAATTACAGCCTATATACGTCCCACTGCTGGGCTCAGGCCTTCCCTCATTTCTGAGAGGGTTTAGGGCAAGGAAGTGTCCGCCGCGCTGCCCAAATGCGTGTTGACGAACTTCACATGTCTTCGAAATATTTTTTTTTCTTATTCCTCAGACATGCAGGTTTCCTCACGATGTTTTCCTTCACCGCCGAGCACGTGGTAAATCAGCACTTAAAATTGCAATTAACAATTTCATTGGTGCCGGCGGGGATCGAACCCGGGTTACTCGCGTTCTGTTATATTTACAGCGAGCGTTAACCACTGAGCTACCACGGCTCTTCTTAGCTGTAAAGTATTAATTTAAAAAAAAACACTCGAATGTACGGTATGAGCAAAAAATAAAAGTTTTAAAAACAATTTTTGTGTGAAATGATTCGATATTTTAACATTTTGCTAAAAAAAAAACACTTTTTCTGTCTTATGTTATATGTACCAACATACTTTTTCCTTAGACCACATACGTGGTTAGATCAGTTGAAATGTTAATCGGACGTTACATACAAGCTTACATACAAATGAAAAATATTAAGTCTAAAATAAACAACATCGTACTTATTAATGGGCCCAAAATCATTCCAGAATTCCTTCTCTCGTCGTGCTACCGTCTAAATAATAGGTCTCGTTAGACAAAAACAGGGTCTTTTCATTATCACCTTTGTAGATATTATGCCTATGTATATTTATATCAAGAATATCCAAATAATATCGATTTTAATACATGATAGTCCATTTTTATAGTTTAATTATTGACGTTTTTTACATCACGCGATGCAATCACATATTTAGTGTTAGCAATTGTAAATATTTCAATTTTAGTCTAAAATGAGAGCTTGGGCTTTGAATTACAATATAATCACAGAGTGTTTGCTTAATATGAGTCTTATAATATGAAATGAAGCGAAGCGTTCTTAATTTGAAATCATACGTTTACTTTTTTTAAACAAAAAGCGCAAGCATTATGTAATTACCTTGACAAACAAAGTTTCTACCTCGGTCTGAGAAAATTTAAAAAAAAACTATTTTCATTTTACATTAAATGCAATTTATTACCTATTTATTTTATTTCAATCGAGATAAATTTAAATTGTAATACATAATATATTTTAATAAAGTGTATTATTTATCAGGTTTTTTGTCACGTTTGATTGAGTTTGAACTTTTAATGTCGTAATATTTGTCATTTATTTATAAAAGACCGCTTCGCTTTATTTACAGTATTTGAATAAAATAAATTATTATACAAATATTAAAAAAAGAGTAAACATATCATTTTTCCATTAAGCACGCCAATTTTGTGCAATTGTCTCCATAAAAATACAAAATGAAATCAAAAAACGAAGGAATGCAAAAATTCTGATTATTTCACATAGCGAATATTACATACGTATATATAGTATTAAGTATTTTCAATAATTTTCACATTTTTTATATTCTATTTTGGACAAAGTTGTTAATCGTGCTTAGAATTCGAATTGGTTCCTTTGTTGGAAAACCAAATGACAGTTTGCAAAATATATGTTATAATCTAATTCATACTATCAAAACTATAATCACTGTCTATGCATATAATCACTGCTCTTAATCGATGGAAAACACAGACGATTATAATATAATATGGGGACAATTGTATCAACATCATTCATTGCCATGCCAACGTCAACCCTTCAGCACTTTTCTGTAAATACACGTGCCTTGCACCACACTCTAGACCTTCTTGCCTACGTGGTTTACAAGTGTATCTTTTTCGACAAGATTATATTTTTTAATAAATTCTTTAATTTAATTGAATTATTAATTAATTATTTTATAGTTGTCAATTACTTTTCAACATTTACAAAAAATAAACTCTTGGGATATGACTGTTCCAAACTCAGACACTGAATCTCGATCCTTGAAAAATCCAATTCTTCATAAGTTATTGCATTAGCGCTTTGAATATACACATGCATTAAACGTTACTTTGACTAAGGGATGGTATATCTGATGTGCCTCAATTTATACACATATCTACGATACCACAACAGCTTGAGAAATAGCTATCTAGTATTTGTCTGTAACTGGAATATGTTTAAAATAAGTTATTATTAAATAACGGTTCATAAGTTTGATCTTAGACTTAATTATCAATTCACGTGTTTTGTTTTTACATTTTCTGAACAAGTTATTTAAACATTTACGTCATTAATAAAATGCTTACGATGCTAATTCATTTTACATTAATAATGAAATATAGAGCTTTCGACTTTATACTTTAGGCAAGGCACACCTGAATATGAAACACCATTTATAATATTACTAATTATGTTGTGCCGCAGTGAACCGGCGTTGGCAAGGCAAACCGGAGTCCGGTATTCTCCTGACGCAGTAGTATTAAGGATAGACTAAAAATTTGTATTGCGGAAAACAGAGTTGGAAGAATGTTAATTACTTTATATTATTGTTTTATATTTACCACTGTGTATGATCCTTCGTAGCTCCCAAAAACATCAAAATTGCCTATATCAGTGATATTTGGAAGAGGTATCGAGATGAACTCTTCATTATTTTCTACGTTTAGGTATTTTTACAATTTTATTGCAATAATTTAAATAATATAATAACTTAAATATATATTTAAATTTCACAAAAAATCATAATAACTGATTGCACTGCCTCTAGTGACAAAAATATAAGTTTGGCATTGTAGCTAATAAAATATTTGTCACATTAATTCACACAAAGAATTTATGTAAAAAATATATAATAATCATTTTTAAAATCCGTTTTTGGCCCATGTACCGGATAAGTATCCGTACCAGAGTCGGCACTAGTAGTACTATTATATACTCTGTGGCACTAGTACGATCATTTTTGTTTTGACATAATTTGAAAACAACAAATTGTAATGTACTTTTCCGTTTTTGCTAAGATAAAAAATTAAGTGTTTCAAAACTATTTTCCGTTTCCACGATGAAACTAAATATAAAAATCATTTTGAATGTGCATTGCATGAAGCTGTATCCACGTTGCATGCTAAACGTGTCTAATAGAGTTTAGCAGTGAAAGGTTGCGAAGGACTCAAAGTGCTGCAAAGCTGCCCTGCAAACTCAGACTATACACGCAGCGCTGAGAGTCCATTTCAATAGACGCATAAACTTACTCAACTACTTTACCCGCACTCACGCACAAATCTTTTTTCTTTGATTCCTTAACGGCCAGGAAATGTCCACTTGATGGGCGCGTTAAATATGCATATGATACCTTGTTACTGGATACATATTATGATTTTAGATGCAATGTGTGCGTGTGTGTACTGATAGTAAATTAGGCATAATTTTGTTCGGTTTCAGCTTCACTTCAAATCTACACAACGCTCCGTCTATCCTTGTTTGCTAATATGTGCGTTAAAAAGATCGTTTTGTAAAAAAAAAGATATGTATGTCTTCCATGTACACTTTCTTTGATGTAACATTTGACATGATAAATTATTATTTATGTAAATAGCTCCTGATTTTTGTTATTATATGGTTTGTAGATTTAATTAATTAAAACAGTAAATCAACTCGTCTAAATTAGTTATAATTATTTTAACTCTGTTTCCCGCATTAAAATGCCTGTAACTTTGTCTTCTCACTGTATATTTCTTAAAATTTTATTATCCATATATACGGGTTATCCGAAATTAGTTTTCTATTATAAATCGAGTCTCTAAGTTACTCTATCTTCCAAAAAGTGAGTACTGTTCTTTAATTATAATCTTATATCTATTTTATTAGGTATTCTTTTCTATGAATTGTCAAAGAAAGTATCTCAAATATTTTTTCCTTAAAAATATCTCCAACGCAAACATATAGAGTTAGCAGTCTCTAAATTATAATATTAAGAGAAATAAAAACTTTACAAACAGTATTTTATGTCAAACATTCGATTAACTTAAAAGTCTAGGTATATAATATTATATATTTCAGTATTCATTCTTGGAGATTCAAAATAATTTATTCTCTATGATTGATGACTTTTTGACATTAAAAAAATATTGCAACTATTGTGCTATGTACTCACGAAACTTTAATTCCAAGTTACCTTTTAAATTAAATACACGATTTTAACGAAAAATATTTACTAATTAATAAATTCGCAAAGTTGTGATGTAACTTTTTATTCACGATATTCATTTTATATAATGATGAATACAAATTTTGCTCGAATAAATTAATAGAAAATGTAAATAAATAATTAGGGTAGACGCTTTATTACGAATAATTATCGTTTATAATATTATTGATTATCCATAATTATTTAATTGAACATATAATTAAGATGAAGATATCATACATCTGTATTTATTTTAGCATAGTGTTATTATGTAATTAAAAGATCATCAAATAAATTTTTCAAGCCACTGATTTTTTGTTTCATTTATTTAAAAGTAATAAATGCCGCTACACTAGC